TGGGCGACGGTGACAACGCAGACATCACGATGATGAGACGACGGCGTAGCGATGCAGGCGAACACGACGCAAGTAGTGCGAGCGCATTCGGTAGACTCAGCACTCTCGGTCGTGGCTAGCAGCAGCGCGGTGATGCAACACAATGCAGGTAGCAACACGTGAAGCGAGCGATAGTGGACTGGCCAGGGCAGCGGGCCCACGACGACGGTGGTGGTGGCAGAGCGGCCAGGCCCGCCGGGCGTGGCGGGCGCGTGCGTGCGTGAGTCACATGTCAGGGCGTAGCAACGATGGTGCGGACCTACGCGGTAGTGCGCATGTGCGCACATGGGCAAGCCAATGCCATGGCGCTGAGCCAACCCGAGGCATGGTGACCACGTCCAAACGCTGAAGCCAGCTGGGAATGTGCCTTGCATGATTTTTAAAGCGACCCACAAATCCAACTCAATGATCCAATTGCCAAACCACCTATTTTACGCTCGAGATGACATGTTAGGCTATCAAAACAAGCCCTAAGACCACACCACTACTTAACCCGATTCTTCTACAAAAATTGTTGAACTTAGCTTCGTCAAAGCATTTTACAACTTAGGAAATTCGACTAAGTCTCGATCGGATTCGCGTCGAATTCGATTTCGAAGCTATTCGATACGCTAGCTAGTGAATTCCTTTCACGACCTCAAGTATTTCATCGTCACCTACAAAGCTTATACTACAAACTTTATTAACGTCGTGCATATGCATTCTATAGCATTTTCGTTCAATAAAAATTTGTTTAAAACCCTAAGCGATATAACGCGACATGAAATATACATTCGTTTCGCATTTCCGATGAACGATTCGAGTCACAGAAATTGATTTACACACTATAATTCATACACATCACATAAACATGATGCCCATGCAGTGTTTTAGCAAAATATTTACAGTGTAACACCGAGGGTGTTACACGTGCATGGTGCCAGGGCAGCGAGAGCGTGGCGGTGGAAGGCCGCGTTCCGCTCCGACAAGGCCTACATTGGCCTTAAGGACCTACCGTGAGCTAGACCTAACTTCATCCTAACCCTAGCATGTGAAAGGAGAAAGGGAGAGCGAATGACCTCGGCCATGGCGAGCTCGAACCTACGGCGGCAATGGTGGCCGCGCACGGTGCGCACGCGTGTTTGGTAGGGACGCGGCGGTAGAGGTTAAATGGGTCACGACTTGAGCATCTTGGCCTACAGGGAGGACAAAACTAGAGAGAGAGAGAGATAGGATGGTCTCTGGTTGAGGCCGGCCACAGTGAGCTCAAAGCTCGGTGGTGCTCCGATGATGGCTGCGGCGGTGGAAAGGAATCGTAGGCCTTTACCTTGGCTCAGACGAAGGCGCGAGTAGGTCGGGGAGGTGGGGAAGGTGATGGAGTTGCTGGCAAGAGCTATGGGACGGCGGTGGTGCGGATGTGGCGATGGTGGCGCGGCTCTGCTCGGTGAGCAACGAGAGCAAGTGAGGTAGGGCGAGAGGGAGCGAATGGAGGCGAGCAGTAGAGGCGCACGCCTTTTCTCCCCACGCTGGCCTGATCGGCCAGGCCGACGTCGGTGTACGGCCACCACATGACGGCCGCGGCCTGTGGCCGGTCGTCCACGATGCCACGCGCGTCCACGCGATCAGAGTCGCGAACGAAACCTGACAGCGCTGCTTCGTGGTGATATTACTCCAAATCCATTCGTCCGTTGCAAAAACTTTGTTAACCAAAGTTGTAGAACTACACGTAATCTACAAATTTTCTTTAGGAAGCATCCCCTAATTTGCAATGGTTAGCCACTTACAATGCTCCCAAGTGAGGTACATTGAAACTATAAACAACATTATGACTTAGAAATTTTTTGCAAGTCTCAAAACAACATTTCCTTGCTACTTTGGAGCTATTTTTGAACATGTTAGGCACTGAATTAGGTCTTAACCCAAAAATAAAAGTTGTTACCCTAGTCAAGTACTACAACTTTTATTTAGGTCACACAGCCATGCAAACACTCTAATCTACTATTCAACTTTGGTCAAACTAGTATCATGACAATGGCATTTCAAATGAAACCAACACTTAGAAGCAAATTTGGCCTATGTCATGAATACAAACATTGTTCCATTTATCATTCTAGATGTGTCTAAGGTGTTTTCATGACCTCTCAACCATTTCATACATTGGTCATACATGATTGCAAGCATAAGCATATATATAAAATCAACATTTCATGTGCTAATGTATAAGAATGAGATGAAGTTTCATATGCTCATGTTCATGAATGCTTGGATGATGCTTGTGCTCATGAAATGCACATGCCAAATGCAATGCTTAACACTAGGGTGTTACAGTATCCTTGTTCATTCGATCCAACGGTGCCCAACAGTGAAGGCCTCACGGGCACAAGGGCGTCGAACCATGTAGGGAAGTCCGACGGCTAGTGTCAGACCACCGTCCGACTGAAAAGTCAGTTCTTGAACCTCTCTAGAGTGCCATAGATGGAGTGAGCGCGTTAGTCCAATGGGTGTCGGACCAAGGTGACTTGAACGCGCCAGAGAGTCGTTAGAGGCGCCAACAATCGAATAAAATCACGTGAGACACGTGGCTTCATGAGGAAGCGTTGGACCGTGGACTCGACGGTCCGATGGTCGATTGGTAGAGGCAACGACTAGTGGAGCTCTTGGGTGTCTATTTAAAGGGGTTGGCCAGCTCGTGGCGCCCTCTCTTGGCACTTTGACATATTGAGCATCCCCTAGAGCTGAGCCAAACCACTCCCACTCATCTCCTTAAGTGTTCATCCTCTAAGTGAGATTGGGAGAGATTTCTAATGCATTTGCATTGAGTTTAGGCATCTAGTGGCACTAGTGATCGTGTTCGCCGCGGGTATTCTTGTTACTCTTGGTGATTGCCGCCATGTAGACGGCTTGGAGCAGCGGTGGTTCGTTGAGCGGCTTTGGTTATTGTTGACGGCTCTGAACAGGTGATTGTGAGGGGTTCCTGTGCTTAGTCCCTGCGGGGGATTCACGAAAAGAAACTCTATTGAAATCATGGCTTGAAAGGTGCTCTCTAGTGTGGTTCTTACAGCGCCCAAGTGTGGGCTTGGCGTATGATGCCAATTAGCACGTGAGCCACCTAGTTTGGACTTGCCATAGCGTGGTCGTAGGTTGCCAGCAAGCAGCCAAACCACGACTTCGGTATAAAGCTCTCTAGTGTGGTTCATATTGTCTTTTGTCCGGTTCGGTATAAAGCTCTACACTTGCAATTCAATTTAGTATACTTGTGTAGTGCTTGTTTGCTTGTGTAGCTTATACAGTAGTTCTAGAGTAGCTTTTAGTTGTAACTAGTCGTAATTAGCTCTCTAGTTAGCTCTCTTGCTTAGGCCCTGTTTGGTTGAGCTGTGGCTGTGGGAAAAAGCTGCTGTGGGCTGTGAGCTGTAGAAAAGCTGCTGTGGGCTGTGAGCTGTAGAAAAGCTAAAAGCTGTTTGGTTAAACAAGTATAAAATATACCTTTTATCTTTATCTCTCTTGAAACAACTATGGAAGAGCTTTTTATTCCACCAATTTCGAAAAGCAGAAAACCAAAAGCCAAAAGCAGGGTCAACCCAGCTTTCAAAAATGAACTACGAAAAAGCAGCTGCTTCTGAAAAAGCACCCTCCAAAAACAGCCCCTTTGGTTGGGCTTTTGGCTTTTGGGGCCAAAAGCCAAAGCCAAAAGCCCAACCAAACAGGGCCTTAGTAGTGTAGTTGCTAGTGTGTGATTGTATGATTCAACCTAGGGACCGTAGCAATTAGAACTGTGTAGGAGGCTTTCTTATGATGAAATAGAGCAAGAGCAATAGTTGCATATAGTCGCCATCTTAATTACTAATCAATCTTTACTCTAGTGCTTTGTAAGTTTATAGGAAATTTTTTTATAGGATAGTCACCCCCTCTAGCCTTTTAGATCCTATCATTGGATCTACTAATACTAATTTTAACTGCTAATTTTTAGTACCAATGGTCGTTTAATCCATTTAAACAATGTTTAAACGGTAAACAAAGGTCACCTGTATCGTTCAGGCCCTAAATGGTGAGACGTTTAAATCATTAAATCGGTCTAAATGGTCTAAACAAAATCGAATCAAGCGTGATTAAATGAGCTAAATAACCATTTAATTCACCCTTTAATCAATAATAATATGATTACAACTACTATATTGGCACCCAACTAATTAACATCATAAATATATGTGGTTGAGTGAAATTTAGTTTTCTGAAGAAAAAAATGGTAGAATACTTATTGTTTATAAACAATATGGGTAAATATGTATATTTTCTATCATTTTTAATTTTTGCATAAGTAAATATGTATACTTTAATGTTACTCTACAAGATTGTTTAGGCCTTCTAGTTCCGTCTAAATATTGTTTAAACAGTCTTAACGCTGAATAAAGGGTAATCGACTGTTTACCATTTAAAATAACACTGATAACCTTAAACTAATCGTAAATTTGACATTCACCAAAACTCTGTGGTACCTTTTCTTTTTGACAGGGAGTATAGATACGGAAACCGAACACCCCAAAACCCCTGCTCATATGTTGTTTTGTGATTTTGTCATGGAGTAGTTTGGCTGGCGTTTAGCTGCTGTGGCTAGCTGCAGCTAGCTTATGTCTACGGTAGCTCTACAGTAACACACGAGAGAGAGGCGACAGCCAGGACTGAGGTAGCGGATGCGGACGAGAACTGTGTTCGCTTTGATTCCTCGAAGCAATGGAGGAGGCGAAGCGAAACCGCCACCGCCAGTCACCCACTTCTTCGCTGGAACGGGAGCACGTCCCTCCACCTCCACCAACACCGCAACAATCGAGGCCAAAAACCCCAACCAGTCCCCAACTCCCCATCCACTCCTCAGCCCAGACGCGCCCCCACGCCCCGGCGATTTCTCTTCTTCCTACGTGCGTGCGTGCGTGCCCCCAGCCCGCCTCGAGCCTTCACGCCGCCACCGACCAACGGGCGCTAGCACGATGTCATCCTCCGGCGCCGACGCTTCCGACCTCGATGCCGCGCTCGCCCTCCTCTCCGGCCCGCAGCTCGTGGCGCACCTCCGCGCCACCTGCCGCAGGGCGGACTACGACGCGGCCGCGCGGGTGCTCGGCGACCGCGACCGCAGTCTTGCCAAGGTCGAGGACGAGCTCGCCGAGGCCCGGACGGGCCTGGAGAATCTGGGCGCGCAGGTCCAGGACCTGGAGGAGCGCTACCTCGCGCTCAAGGCGGAGGAGAGCCGCGGGCCGAGCAGCCGCTCCTCGGGTGGCGCGATCGCGGCCGCGGCGCGGCGGGTCGACCGGCGCGCTGAGGAGCCGGACTCGAAAGGCGCTATTGACCTCTGCAGCAGCAGCGACGACGACGAGTTGGAGGAGGGGGAGTTCCGCCCCGATGTCGCGGGGGTTTCTTGCAAGCGGCAGGAGTCCGCGTCCAAGGGCGACGAAGGGCGCCGCGCGGGGGTTTCTTGCAAGCGGAAGGAGCCCGCGTCCGCGTGCTCGCCCGACGACGAGGACGATAAAATCCCGCTCAGCCAGCTTATCAAGAAGCGGAGGAGAGCTAAGCCTTGGGCTAATGGCGAACCCAAGAAGGGGCATGGAGATGTTCCGGCGAATTCTGCTGGACCTTTGGGGGTTGATCGGCTTGTGATTTCTCCCGTGAACAGGGGAATCCCCGAAGCAGTCGCGGAGCACATGGTTGGTAGACCTGATGATCCAAAGGTGGCGGCTTTCTTGCAGGGGAGTGGGAATGGAAAATCGGGGAAGAATGGGGGATTGCCCAGGACAATGCCGAGTCCTCCACCCACTGGTTCCACTGCTGGGAACAGCCTGCACAAGAACTGCTCCAAGCCCGACGGCTCTGAAGGCCGAGAGAGGATTGGTGAGAAACAAGGTCCTGTTGCTGGTCCGGAGAATGATGCACCAGTTCAGGTGAGAACTCCAAGCGTTACGGACACGGCGAGGAGAATTGTCGGATCAGCGCGAGTTGGTGCTGAGACGCCCATGGAGCACACCGATTCTTCATCGGATGGAACTGTCAGCGTGGTTCTCAAGTCAATCGAAGGGCAGGAGAAAGCAATTGGTGGAGTGCACAAGACGAAGGTATCGCTGGAAACTAATGGAACTGGGGACAAAGCTAGTATTGTATTGAAGGATACTAGAGAGCAAGGGAAACCAGATGGCCAAGTGCTCCACACAAAGGTGTTGTCAAGAACTAATGGAATTAGGGAACAAGGGGGTAAGCTCAGTCCTTGTCAGAGCCGGGTGGATATTCATGGAGGCAGACCCACGACATCAGATAAGCCAGTGTCAGCCACCTTGCAGCGGAAAAATCAGCTTGCGCTGCATTCGGAGCAAATGTCAGTAGAGAGTCCATTGCCTTCAGCAGTTACAAGATTCTGGAAATCTTCTTCAGATGTTTTTATGTCATGCCTTGCAAATAAGGAGATCTGTATGCAAGCTGCTTGTGCTCTTCACCGCCAGAAAAAGTTTACAACTCAACCAACTGAAGGAGGAGTCACCAAATTTGATGCACACAGGTGTGTTAAAATTGAGTCCCTTGGAGGTTAAAAGTCATATGCTTTGATAATCATCAGTTTTGTGCCCATACTTGTATTGCTTGTTTTTGCCTGACAGCAGTTGTGTAGGATATTTGATAGTAATATACAGCCTTTAGCTTTCTATACTCTGTCTTAGCGCATAACTGTGTTTTATTCAGCAAGTAGCTTTAACATACATATAAGTTTAACTCACATGGATATTTGAAGGCAAGATCAAACATAAATCATTTAATTTGCAAGTCATGAACATTGTAATTGGCCTAGCAGTTGCCTGATTTGTATTTATGTTTGAGTAATGAGTAATGACTATTCATATTAGGATTGAGTTAATAATTTAATTCCAACTTGGGTATGGACGTATGGTTGTATCCGTGAGGAATGGCCTTTGATTTGGTTATACCAGTATTTACTTCAGTTCTTTTAGTTTAAGAACTATGTTCTGATGCCAATCCTAAATTTTAAATGTATATCCCCTTGCATGAGCTTATGCACATAGTATGTAGTTTCTAGTTTAATGTCTATGGGTAGACATCCTGTAATTTAGTCAGCCAACAGTGTGGTTTTCATGAATCTTAAAACTCTGCAAAGCATCTTCAGCCAACAGTGCGGTCTGCTCTTTGCTGCTGCTATCAATATTTTTGCTTTATCAAAATTCTGACATATGTTTATTGATTGAATTTTCTAGTAAAATTGTCATTCATCTTGTAAAAGCTTTGCCAAAGTTAATATATTTATTCATGGTGACCTAGTTATCAAAATTCAAAACACATTTTGTAGTAATATTGATATTATGTGTCTTACAATGGCACAATACTTTGGCCATTGTCGCGGTTTCTAAAGCTATACTTGTTTGAGGATGTTCCTTTAGGGCGGCTGTGTTGGCGGAATTTCTTTTGGATAGCGACCTTCAGGGACCGCTGAAAAGAACTGTTGAGGACCTAGCGAAGCATGATTCTACAGGGCATGATTTCCTTGAGAGAGTAGTATTGCTATGCTCTGAGCAGTTGTTCAGTATTTACAGGAACAAAGACGATAAATACTTCCGTTGAAAGCGGCAAAACTGTATCTGGTAAGGTTTGCACCACTTATCATATGGAAGGGGTTACTATGTTTTGTTGTGATAATGTGATGTATATAGCTCATGCTGAAACTAATCATCTTCATGGATTCGACCGGCTAGCAGTTGTAGAAGTTACAGTAACTTTGTTTCTTTACTTGCATTGTGTTTAGAAAGATCATACTGAGGGGGCTCATAACTGCCCATCGTATATGCACCCTTTATTTTCCATCTCACCCTGTATGTTGATGAGTTGATAAGAGATCGTATCTGGTGCTACCGTTTTACCAACCACGATAGCACCGAAACTGGTGCATTAAAAATTACAAAAAAAAAGGATGGATAGAGGCAATCCACTGTGTGCATTCAAAATTTGAGTTTGAACAAAAACTTGTGGTAAGAGAAACAGGGACTTGAATAGTATGTGCTGCAGACTCAGAAGAGTTTTGGAGAGAAGTTTCCTTTTCTTTTTTTGAAAATAGAATCAAGAGAATTTTGTTGTTAATGCTAACGGAAAATGTTAGCAGGATTGACACTGTTTGTTGGGGCAGGATTCTGCGAGGAAGCCGCTTATCCATTGATAATGTTTATTCTGTGGGTTACGTTCTTGGTTTTAGCGATTATTTCAGATTCGGATTATCATTTTGTGAGATTGTTTGGCTGTGCACGATATAGTTCTGTGATCTGTTGTCCCTGGTACAGTTCCCTTGGGGAAAATTTTCGAGGGTCTTGCGTTGCTAAAGATCCAAAGGGTGCTGAACGTCCCATTCTTGGCTTTGCAGTTTGCTTGGCTGGATTTCAGCCTGGACCAGGTACTCGGTATGATAGTTTGCCATACGCCTGCGTGGCTGTGTTTGATTTGCCTTTGTACCTGCTGTGACTACTACCTGAGCATTCGGAATCTGAGGTTGGAAACACAGTAAGGTTCCTTAATTGCAATTGGAAGTGGAATGTTGGGGATGACAGTTTGTCTTGATGGCAAATAAGGAAGACAAAAAAATTTAGTGATAAATAAGGCACACCCTCTTAACTTTGGATAAGGAGTTTTCTCTTAAAGCACCCCCTCTATTATTATGACTTGACTAGCAAATGTGTTTGTATGCTGTAACCTGTTCTATTATGTTTTGGAATTGGATTCCGTACCATCATCACTATGTACATGGATCGTGAGTCCAGATTACATACAAGGCATGAATGACGCAGGGATGTTCTGAGAATAAAAAAATTGGTGAGAAAAAACCCTTCGTTCTTTAATAGGTTGGTATAGAGATAGGAGGGCATTGATGTTCACAATTCACGTGTAGTAATTAGTGGATGACATTATATTGTGGACTGAGATCATCATGTTATTCTTAACATACATAGACTTGGAGTTTCATCCTGTTCTTTAGCTCAATCAGTAACGCGCGCACGTCGGAAAGAATTTGGGTACCAACTGCCTGACGCTAGATACAGATGACAGGTGAGGGGTGAGGCTTCGTCAGTCGTTATTACACAGGTAAAGAATGATCTGACCTTGAACCGCTCTCAATCCGAGCGTGCGAGTGCGAGGGACGAGCGAGGCCGTTCGTCCGTCCCTTGAGTTGATCCCTGCATGCTTGCGTTCCGTCTGGTTTCCACCACGAAATAAGGCTGTATAAATCCTTCCGGGGCTCTCCCTCCTGCATCGCCGGAACCAAACGCCAAACGCCGCTGCGCTCTCTCCTTCTCGTCCTGATCCCCCCCCAGAGCGAGAGGGAGGGGCACCCGGAGGAGCCCGTCGTTTTGATCGGTGTCACAGCCCCCGTTCCCGCGAGGAGAACAACCGGAAGGAAATGGCGCCGATCTCCAGAGCCACGGCAATCCTTGTGATGGCTGTCGTCGTCGCCGTGCTCGCCGCCGCGGCTAACGCCCAGGCCCCCGCCCCAGCACCTGCCATCAGTGATGGTCAACTCTCAGATCTTTTTTTTTTCTTTTCATCGTAGTTTTTTCTCTTGTTCCATGCTTTATTTTCTCTTTTTTGGGAGGAATAGCCGATGCAGGCAGTTTGTTGTGGAAGGAATGCACTATGCAGCTACGTTGTTTGCGTCGAAGAACACAGCCTGATAATCCACATTTTGTTTTTCTTCATTCATGACGATTGGTCTCTTGTCCGTTTTTGGCAGGAACAAGTGTAGACCAGGGAATCGCCTACGTCCTGATGCTGGTGGCGCTAGTCCTCACCTACCTCATCCACCCATTGGACGCCTCCTCCGCCTACAAGCTCTTTTAAAAATCATCCGCTTTGTAATTTGGCGCTAATTGAGGGTGCCATTAACGGTGTTTGATTAATCGATCCAGTTTGCCCCACAATCAGAAAAGAAAAGAAAAATATGCACACATCTTATCGTTGCTACTTCTAGGACATTTTCCCCTGTCTTTCAGTCGGGGCGAAGCCTGAGGAGCCACATTATTGCAAATGACTCATTAGGGGGACCGATTTTTTTCATTCATCTGCATGATACAACAGTAGTGTGCAATACTAGTGGTGCTTTCAGTAATTCAATTATCTGATCTGATCTCCACCGGCATATCCTGAAGAGTAGAAAATTAAAACAAATCATCGGGGTAATAATGCATATATCACATAAAAAGTTTTGAAATTTCCCTGGTTGCATGATGCTGACAACATTGTCCAATGTATCCCTTTTTGGAGCATTTTAATTTGTAAATATAAATATAAATCAAAATAAGCATGCCATTATAACATTCTCAACTTTTACCTACGGTTTTTGATGAGTGACCTATAGTTTTTGTGTTCTTTAGTATTTTAATTGAGTGTGGCCTATAATTTTATGTGTACATATTAGCATATTGTCTTAGAGTTTTATCAAATTGCCAACAACATAATTCCCTACAAATTCATTATTACCCATGGTTATGGTAGTTTGTTAACCATTTTTTTTTGCAAAGAGTTAGTTAACCAAATATACTATATGCTTGTTTGGTTCACCTAAAGAAAATATGAGAATCAGATGAAAGAATGATAATAAAATCCAAAACAGGTGGATTATAGGGAAGATTCTTATAATGCGACCACAAGATTGTAAGGATATATAGTAATCCACCTCCAACATTTGGAGATAATGGGTAGAAATATCTTGAACTACCTATAATCTCTTGTTATAATCCAGGGATCCAAACATACATCTTCTTTTTTCTTATATGTGACCTAAATTTTACAATCACTCTTTTGAATTCAGATCCTCATAATCTTAGGAGATCCAAATAGGCCCTATAAATACTTAGCCCATTTGCGAGGAAACCATGGGAAGATGGTTGTTAGTCTTGTGTGTTGTGAAGGTGATTGTTCTCCCCTTAGGTAGATTTTTTATACAACATTTTGTGCTCTCTCTCTCTCTCCCTCTCTCTATCTCTATCTCTCTACTTATAATAAGTAATTTTGAGTTGTTCTAAGCCTAACTGTCATAAGTTTGACTAAGCTAATACAGAAGAAAATTAATATTTACAACATCAAATTAGCATCATTAGACACATTATGAAATATAGTTTTATAATTTATATCTTCGATGTGGTAGATGTTAGTGCTCTTCTCTATAAACTTGGTCCAACATATGGTAGCTTGACTTAGGATAACCTTACATCCCTTACATTTTAGATGGAGGAAATAGATGTAGTACTCACAACCTAAATGTGTAGTCCTAGATATCATAGGTTGAAGTGTGGGGTTTTTCAAGAGTTGATCATGGTCCATTCCATGTTTTAAACCTTGAGGAGTCATCCTTGCTCTTATTATTCTCATTCTTCTTTTTCTTCCACTACTTGGGATGAGGGCAATCATAAGAAAGATTATTGTAGTCACTACATTTATAGCATCTTCTTAATATATCCTACCCACCCATGTGTTGCTTGAACTGTTCTTCTAAGGGTGGTTTGATAAAGTTTTTAAGTTACCAATTACCGCCTTTTCTAGGATGGTTTGGTAAAGTTTTAAGTTAGTAATTGTCACAATACTTAGCTATAACTTGAAGAACTTACTTCCAAGCATTTCAAGGCTAGCATTGCACATGTTAAATCAACACAATTTTCATGTGCCACAAAGCTAATGTCTCCCTACAGAATCATAACTAGCACCAATGGGGATACCTTAATACTTGCATCTACCAACAACACTAATCCTACCGGATCACAATGCCTATCACATATACTCCGCAATTCGTGCCATGATCGGAACACCAACTTATATGTGCCTATCTAGTAATGGTTACGAGTCGTCATGGATAAGGTGTTTTGAAGTGATATTCACTAAGAGAAATAGTTCTTTGAGAAAAGGATGTCAATAACCGGCGAAACCCACAATAGTGACAGCCTGACAGGACAGAGAACAGTCAGGCAAGGTAGCACTAACATTATCAAACGAGGTAGTGGTGGATAGCCAATGAGTAAGATCATGATGGTGGCAACAATAAGAACGATAGGAGACAACTATGAGGAGGTTATATATCCCTGGTAAGATGTGGCCAATTACTCTTGGAGCATTGGGCTAGTGGGTAGTGTTATGGTGCTTTAACGAAGCCTACCCGACTCCCCACCATGACAAGGGTAGTGGCTCATCCTAGCAACGGTGGGCTAAGATTATTGCAAGGAAGAAGAAGAGGAGCTAGTTGGAGGTTATAGAAAAACATGAATCATAGGATGGTAATCAGATGACTAGAGAGATAGTGTGATAGGGTGGACGAAACACGAGGCGGTTTGGCTGGACAAACCCAATAAGGCACATGTCACATAGCCATGAACCTATAAAAATGGATTAGGGTGCATAGTGGATTTAGGGGCAAACGAATCAAGGTGTGGGTAGGGACTCTATTGGAAGAAAAGGAGGAGGGGTGAAGAAAAAAGAGAGGAGATGGAGGAAGAAGAAGAGAGAGCTTCCCTATACATCAGCTTTGTGTCACGCTCTAGAACTCTTAGATACAGGGAAAGAATAGAATCCGAGGATTTGGGTAGAAAGAGGGGCATAATTCTAGAGGAAGACGAAGATAGAAATGGGGGAGGAACTCTGAGTTTGTTATTCCTTAACAGTTCCATGTTGAACGGTTACAACGGTGCGGTTTATATTCTACTGCCGCCGGACACACAACGTCTTACGGCCAGAAGCCCACACAACCATATGACCCATCTACTGAATACTCTGGCCCGCTAGCCACTCGTTACATTGCCCCTCCCACAAAGGACAGCTTGTCCCTAAGCTAAAGCTTTAGGGTAGCAGCGACGAAGATCGACCTCTTCTTCCCAGGTTGACATGCTTACCGGCAACAAAGTCCATTGTACTTGCACTTAAGCTACCACTGATGCTCCCTTGGCTTACAAGCGGCGATTCAGTACCTGCTGAGGCTGCATCTGAAAAGAGGGATCAATACTGACAGATGATAGATCCTGTGTAGCATCCGACAATGGACCAATATACTTCTTGAGCTGTGAGACATGAATCACTGGGTAGATACGGTCATCAGGCGATAACTCCAACTTGTATGCTGTTGATCCAACCCGTTGAATAACTTTGAAGGGGCCATAATACTTGAAGGATAGCTTGTGGTTGGTGCGGTAAGCTACTGATGACTGCAGGTGGGGTTGCAGTTTCAGATACACCAAGTCTCTAGGTTCAAAAGCACGTTCTGATCGGTTTCTATCAACCTATTTTTTTCATCCTCTACTGTGCACGCAGCAACTGTTGCTGTATCAACTTGTTCAACAATTCTCTTTCCTTAAGCCACTGCTCCAAATCTGGTATTGAGCATTGCTGAAGGTTGGGAATTCCCAATTGCCGAGGAGTGTGCCCATACAGAACCTGGAAAGGGGATTTGCCCGAAGCTGAGTGAAAGGAAGTGTTATACCAGAATTCAGTTGCTAGTAACCACTGATGCCATTTCTCGGGACAAGAATGCACTGTGCATCTCAGAAACATCTCCAGGCATTGGTTAAGTCTCCCTGTCTGTCCATCAGTTTGTGGATGGTATGATGAACTCATCATCAGTTGTGTATCAAACAGATTGAACAATTCTTGCCATATAGCACTGGTAAAGACTCGGTCTCTATCTGATATCAGAGCCTTAGGCAACCCATGTAGCCTATATACCTGAGACATAGTGTTACACTCTAACAAACTATTGAACCATGTCATGAGCATCATGTTTATGTGATAATACATGTGATAAAGTGTGTAGATAAATTTCTTGTAACCTAAAATGACTAAAAAAAATGCTAAATGAAAGTTGATTCAATAGCTCATGTATATCAAGTAGGGTTAAAAACTATTTTTTATTGAGCAAAAATACTATATAACATATATGTGGCACCTAAATAAAGCTTGAAGTACAAACTTTGTAGATGGTAATGCAACCCTTGCTGTAGAAAAATAACATTGCTAGCTAGTGTTTCTAATAGCATAGAAATGGAACTTCAAATCAAAACTAGCATAAAGATTTAGAAAATTCTTAAGTTTAAAAACAGTTTGACAGCACCGGGTTTGCGAATTTATTCCCAGAAATCTAGTTCAAAGATTAGTACTATGTTTTAGTTCTTAGGGGTAGCCAAATATGCTCTCTTGAGCATGGTGGAGGTGGCTTGGTTCCAAGATCATTCGTTTAGTTTTTTTGGATGCTTTAAAATTGGTACACGCACTCAAGCTCGGGCCGTCAGGCCTGGGCGCGTGGCCGCACGCCAACCGGCCAAGGCCGCGCTCAGTCTGGTCGCAGCTTGGCCACCCTTGGCCGCAGCACCTACTGCTAGCTGCTGGCCACCGTGCCTGGCGACCACCCTGCCCCACCTGTTGCTGCATTGCTGCCACTACGGCTCCACGTCCTCACGGTGTTGCTACCCTCCCTGCTTCACACTGTGGCGCAGCTGGTGCCAGTGCCATCGCCTCACCATCGCGTCCGCACCCCCCTCCCCTGCACTTCTACGCCGCTGCTAGCCCGGTCCGATGCCCATACATGGCTGTGCTAGCCGTCGTCTTGCCATTTATGGCACTACGGCCGCGTGGGCCGTGCCTGATCATGGACGCACACGTTCTGTCCATAGCGTCTATGCGTGTGTCTCCCTGATCACGTCGACCGCATCCCACCAAGACGAGGCTGAGCTGAGCCCACCTACCTCTCTCTCTCTCCCTCTCTGCTACCATGGCTGAGTCGCGCCATTAAATTTGTCAGGGAGAGATCACCTCGAGTCAATTCGTCGTGTCGTTGGCTCCGTCATCAAGCTACGTAGCTACCC